GCAGAAGAGACTTCTTTTAAAAACATTAATCTTACAGATCCCACACTTTTAACTGGTAGTGTAAATACATTCATACATGTGACCAGAACAAACATACAATCTGGTGTCTAGCAGAAAATCCCTGATCTCCAGTTCTGTTCAGCACATGCTAACGACCGGACAAGTGATTTAATGAAATGATAATTTATGTAAATGCAATTTTGCAGTTCCACTCTTCATCGCCCCGAGCGTCTCTCAGCTGATTGGCTGATGAATCCTGTGATGCGCTAATGGGCAGTTAGAGCGCAGGCTAATGGAAAAGCGATTAGCTTGGCGTGGGAGCGTCACGCGGCGACCTGCGAGCTTCTACAATCACAACAGCCATTGAAATAAGAGTCATTGCACCTGTTTAATTACTGTGATAATTGCATGTCGTTTGCTCGGGGCCCGGGGGGTCCTGCACCGTGTTGCTAATGTGCCCGGCGCTTTGACAAACCCTTAATAACGCTAATGCTAATGCTTCCTGTGCCATTAGAAGAGAAACACGTCTCCCTCCAGGTGCGACACACGGCCGGTCCTGAATCATGTAAACAACAACAAACAACAGCGCTAATTTAGCTTTAGCCTCCTCGAGAGACCAGCATCACAACAGAAGCTCCATCAAGACGAACGAGCGGCGTCTGCGCTGACGAGCCTTCAAGACCCCGGAAATCAACGCTTTTAGGATGAATATGTAACCTTAGGGTTATGAAAAAGCTGGTGTGGTCCAAAAACAATGACAAAATGTACGCAAAACTTACAGTCTCTCACTTTTTTATGACTTTTATGATTTTTATGACTTCAGCTTCTCATCACATCTTCTGTCCAATCAAATGCTCTCTAGAATCTAAAGCTCCGCCCCCTCTGCTATAAACACCACCGCTGACACACGGAGCAATGTGTGTTGGAGTGTGTGTTCGGTAGCGCTCGGATCCGCTTCCATGAGCTGTCAGTCTGTGAGCTAAACTAAACGCTATTGGCTGTTTGAAAAGGGGGAGGAGCCATTCAATATGTCCCGCCTTAACTTCCTGTTTCAGTGGAAATGACGTCAGTGCATCAAACTAAGCTGCGCGTTCCAAGGCACTTCAGTGGGACTTTAAGTGACATCAAACTGTGGTGATTCACTAGAGATGCAGGGCCCTGTCACACACTCGGCGCAACGCAAGTGTTTTGCTAGTTTCAGCCTGACGCAGTTTTTATTTTCATTCCCCACATTGTTTAAATAGCAAATGCATTTGCGCCAATCTGTGGCCCATGGGCTGCTGGTCTGAGCACCAGGTGTGTGTTCAGGCGCAGTGTGGACCCGCCTGTAGGCTCTTATTACTAATGCGCCCTTGAAATAACAACAAAATATTGCGCCATTGACTTTAGACCAGGTTTCAGTTGGTCAATGACGCAGTGTATTTCAGTTGCGCCTGAACACACCTCGTGTCCACTTTGCTTATTACACACACAGGGACACACAGCAGCACACAAACATGCCAAATATGAAAAATAAAAGGATTACTATGTAAAAGATTATTATTGTGTGCATAAAGATATGGTGGAATCCGGCTTGTCCCGTAGATGTTTTGCTTGAGAAGCGTTCAGTTTTTCCGCTTGCAAATTCCTCCATGTAAATAGCGAATCCGCCATGCGAGCGCAACTGGCTTTTAAAGGGAATGTGAGATGAGACTCTGATTGGTTTATAGCACGTCACGCCCAAAACACACCCGTTACTCATTAAGAGAATAGAGACGACCCTTTTAGACCAGCTCTGGGAGCGCCGTAGCCTGGTTAAAACCAGAGCATCTCAGGTGTAACTGAGTTATGGTCTAGCAAAGTGTCATAGACAAATCATTTCCAGAGGGGCGTCACCAACGGCCGTCGCGGATAGAGCTAAACCCAATCAGAGCGCTGAAGGAGATGGTGTATGCAGAGCGGCGGAGACACATCTCCGAGTGTTGTTCTTTGCTCGGTTTTTAACTAAAAGGAAACGTTCAAATGGCTTAAAACAGACGCGATAGCTGATTGGAACGAGTGATGTTCGACGGCGGCATCCATCTTTGTAATGTAGGCTACAAAATCTGCTTCAAAACCCCAGCGCTGTCGTCATCGTGTAAAGCCCGCCCCAACGCTTCTGATTGGTGCCACGATTTCAGCGGATTGGAAATGGGCTTGAATGAGCTCTTCGCCAGACTAACTTTCAGAGCAAATCTAAATTAGCCGGAAGTTGTCTGGGTTTTCCCAGGCTAGGAGCGCCGACCATTTTTCCCATCGTTAAACTAGCAAAAGTGGATTCGGACTCGCCATAAGTGTGCTTGCGTTGTGCGCTTTAGACCATGAGCTTAGATCGTTAAAATTGGGCCCCTGGTCACATGACTCGCATGAATAAATCTCAAAAACCCTGGAAGAGATCACTGAATCCAACACCTTTCAAAGCAGAGCCAATGGTTCTAGACAACATTCTGCGAGTCGCAGTGTCACATATTGCATCGCTGACCTGCACACTTGGTTCTGGCCCTCAGCGGGGGTCCTGGCGCTCCGGTGCCGCCCTCGTTCGGTCTGGTGAGCAGAACGCTGATCTCGTACTCGGTGTCGGGGTCCAGGTGGCCGATCTTGTGGTTGGGTTTGTCCACGGGCTGGTTGTCGATCAGGCTCCCGGAGAGAGTGCGGTACTCCACCTCTTTCTCCACGATGGGCCCGTCTCCGTTGATGGAGTTGGCGTTGAGCTGGATCCACAGGTAGGTGGCGCCGACGGCCGTCAGCTGAGGAGGAGCGATGGGAATCGGAGGCTCTGGACACACGGATCAGAACCGTGTTAATCAGGGCTGTGGTCGAGAATACTGTGGTAGAAAACTTTTTAAAAAGTCAGTACATTTAAACATTTTCGTGCTGAGAAACTGCTGATAAAAGACAAAAAATTATATATAATTTTCGAAATAATTTTACATATCAAGTCACCTTTATTTATACAGCGCTTCTTACAGCACAGAGTGTGTCAGAGCAGCTTTACAGAGAGAACAGGAGAATAATGACACAGTGTGTTTCCAGAAGAGAACAGCGTCTCAGTCCAGCTTAAGGAAGCTCAGTGATGCTTCATTATTGTTGAAAAAAAGTTATTAATTTAGTTCCTTTATTTATATATATAGCCGCTCTGGAGTAAACCGTGATGTCATCGTCCAGCTCAGTTCAGTTCTCATATAATGCAGGAAATCAATAATATTGCTGAATATTAAATTAAATGATTTAATATCTTTGCTATTCCTTCCTTATAACTCAGGAAGGAAATAAGGCACAATGAAGTTCCCCGACATGCGATCTGCATCTGGATCAAATGTTGTGCTGATAGCCGAAAGTAATCAAAACAGCATTTGGAACCAATGCAGCCTTTTTGTTTAGCCCTTGACGCCCCCGAATGGGCATTTTTAAAATCTTGTGATCGACGCAATGAATTATGTTGGTTTTGGACTATTTTCAATGGAGAGCATCCACTGTAAGTAATGATGTGCCATTTTCCACGATCTATGCATGTTTCATGAAGTTACGAGCGAAAACGCCACGTGAACGCTACATTTGTCTTTAGTTAGCGTCTGTGGAGTTTTGTGTGTTGTATCTCCGTGAGGAATATTCTCGTGAATGGATTAACTCATTTTAATAGTGAATCTGCTGTAAATAATGATGCGCCATTTTCCACGATCTGTGCATGTTTCATGAAGTTACGAGCAAAAACGTGAGCGAAAAAATGTCAAACTTGTGCCGAGAATGACAGCAAAGCAACTGTGTAGTTGTACAAGTGTGTTTCAAGTGACGTCAGATCCAGGTCACCGGCTATGGAAGCCCCAATGGCCCAAAAGTCAGTGCTTCGCAACACAGACGGGGGGAATTAATTAACGAAAATGTGAAAGTTCTGTCACCAAACCATGTTGTTACATATCCTCGCACTGTTTTAAGTGTGTGTGCGGCGTATACCTGCGTAACACGACTACACCACGGGTTTCATTAGTGAGAGTGAGAGCATTGATGTCAGATTGCTCTGATCTTCATGCTCTAAACTGAAGCACGTCCTCATGGCACTCGAAGGCCTAGTAATTCTGTTAATGAAATGGTAAGATCAGTGAGAAGCTGTTTAATTCCGCCCCGCGTCTCTGGCTTTAATCTTAAGTGGGCACAATTAAGCGACCGCGCAGAAAAGCCACGACTCCCAATCTGGAGTGTAATCTTGTGACGGGGCGGAGTGATTCCTCTGAGCTAATGACTTAAACCAATTAATTTCCTGACCTTCATTGTTTTAGATGAGCCCAATTTCATTAGTCACCAGCCCTACGGTCCTGCTCCAATTCACCCGTGATCCCGTTCCAGAAATGCCCCAAACGCCACACACACACACACACACACACACACACACTAACACTAAAATACACACACACACACAGACTCATATACACACACACACACACACACACACACACTCACAAACACAAATTGACACGCACACACTCACCTCACAAACACAAATTCACACACACATACACACAAACACACAAACTCACACACACAGTGGAGGCGGGGCTCATTTACATATTCATAAAACCGCATATACTTAATGAGGCAAGGGTGTCGAGCTACAGTCGAGATATTTTAAGGCATGAAGAACTTTTTTTCAAGGAAAAAAACTTTGAAATATGTCATTTTGGTGATAAAAGATGACTTTTAAGAGATAAAATAATTGACTACAGGGGGAATTTAGGAGATATGAACGACTCTGCTCTTTTCCCCGCTGTAGAGCCTCGGTGACATCTTAGACGGTCGGGTGTGACTTCTACAATTCCTCAAAGTTTCACGTCTCTAGGACTTACGGTTTGATCTGTCTGATCACTTTTAGGGCAGAATGTTGATCTTTGAAAATCCTAATAACTACAATAGTGTTTCAGCACCACACGATATAACCCCTTAATATATACAGAGAGAACATGGTAACTCTTTATTTTGATGGTCCCCAACAGACATTCAACTGACTATAAGTAACTTTACAACTACATGTCAACTTACTCTAACCCTACCAGTCTACTAATACTCAACTAATACTCTACTAATACTGTACTAATACTGTACTAATACTGTACTAATACTCAACTAATACTCTACTAATACTCTACTAATACTGTACTAATACTGTACTAATACTTTACTAATACTCTACTAATACTGTACTAATACTGTACTAATACTCTACTAATACTCTACTAATACTCTACTAATACTCTACTAATACTGTACTAATACTGTACTAATACTGTACTAATACTGTACTAATACTGTACTAATACTCTACTAATACTCTACTAATACTCTACTAATACTCTACTAATACTGTACTAATACTCTACTAATACTCTACTAATACTCTACTAATACTCTACTGAGAGTTAGTAGACGTGAAGGTGCAACGTTACATATCGTCAACAGAATGTGTTAAAGGGACCATCAAAATAAAGTGAAATCGAGAAAATTAAGATGGAAAACTTACACCTGACATGAACACATGAACACCATCACACACACACACACACACACAGATCTCAGATTGAGAGCTCAGGTCTGTGTACAGGAACCGCACAACAGCGTATCGATCTGAAGCGTGGAGAACGGCAATTACAGCTGTGGTAATGGAGCATCCATCATCCTGGCAGATGTGTGTGTGTGTGTGTGACCAGAGACACACTCCACTACACCAACTTCTCTCCATCCATCTGCTGCTCACACACACACACACACACACTCCATCCATCCGTCTGCTGCTCACACTCACTCGGGACACGAGTCCTGTACAGGGATTATAATAGAGTCAATCATCACTAGTGCTAGTGCTCAGAGTGAAGAGATGAAACATGCACCGTTTCCCCTGCCGAGACGAGCAGATGTTGAGCTGATGTTCACACTGCGTTTACATGCAACCAATTAATCCGCTAGTAATGGGACTGACGGCTCAATCGCACTGAAAGCTTCAAGTAGAACGCCTTAATCGATCCGACTGAGCTCGATCCCAATGAGATTTTGATCGGATTGAAAGGAGTGTTTATTCCTTTTATAATCCGATCGAGAGAACATGTGAACACTTGATCGGACTGAAAACCGAAATTGAAAGGACTGCGCATGGGCACTGATGTAGAAATAGCGTAATATTGTAGAAATAGTGTAATGAAGTAGAACTAGCGTAATATTGTAGAAATAGCGTAATGACGTCGAAATAGTGTAATGACGTTGAAATAATATGATGACGTAGAAATAGCGTAATGTAGAAATAGCGTAATGACGTAGAAATAGTGTAATGTAGAAATAGCGTAATGCAGAAATAGCGTAATGACGTCGAAATAGTGTAATGACGTCGAAATAACGTGATGACGTAGAAATAACGTAATGTAGAAATAGCGTAATGACGTCGAAATAGTGTAATGACGTCGAAATAGTGTAATGACGTCGAAATAACGTGATGACGTAGAAATAGCGTAATGTAGAAATAGCGTAATGACGTCGAAATAGTGTAATGACGTCGAAATAACGTGATGACGTAGAAATAGCGTAATGTAGAAATAGCGTAATGACGTAGAAATAGCGTAATGTAGAAATAGCGTAATGACGTAGAAATAGCGTAATGTAGAAATAGCGTAATGACGTCGAAATAACGTGATGACGTAGAAATAGCGTAATGTAGAAATAGCGTAATGACGTCGAAATAGTGTAATGACGTCGAAATAACGTGATGACGTAGAAATAGCGTAATGTAGAAATAGTGTAATGCAGAAATAGCGTAATGTAGAAATAGCGTAATGTAGAAATAGCGTAATGACGTCGAAATAGTGCAATGACGTTGAAATAACGTGATGACGTAGAAATAGCGTAATGTAGAAATAACGCAATGATGTAGAAATAGCGTAATGTAGAAATAGCGTAATGACGTCGAAATAACGTGATGACATAGAAATAGCGTAATGTAGAAATAGTGTAATGCAGAAATAGTGTAATGCAGAAATAGCGTAATGTAGAAATAGCGTAATGTAGAAATAGTGTAATGCAGAAATAGTGTAATGCAGAAATAGCGTAATGTAGAAATAGCGTAATGTAGAAATAGTGTAATGCAGAAATAGCGTAATGCAGAAATAGCGTAATGTAGAAATAGTGTAATGTAGAAATAGTGTAATGCAGAAATAGCGTAATGTAGAAATAGTGTAATGCAGAAATAGCTTAATGTAGAAATACTGTAATGCAGAAATAGCGTAATGCAGAAATAGCGTAATGCAGAAATAGCGTAATGTAGAAATAGCGTAATGTAGAAATAGCGTAATGTAGAAATAGTGTAAAGCAGAAATAGTGTAATGCAGAAATAGTGTAATGCAGAAATAGCGTAATGCAGAAATAGCGTAATGCAGAAATAGCATAATGTAGAAATAGTGTAATGTAGAAATAGCGTAATGCAGAAATAGTGTAATGCAGAAATAGCGTAATGCAGAAATAGTGTAATGTAGAAATAGTGTAATGTAGAAATAGCGTAATGCAGAAATAGCGTAATGTAGAAATAGTGTAATGCAGAAATAGCGTAATGCAGAAATAGCGTAATGTAGAAATAGTGTAATGCAGAAATAGCGTAATGTAGAAATAGCGTAATGTAGAAATAGCGTAATGTAGAAATAGCGTAATGTAGAAATAGCGTAATGTAGAAATAGCGTAATGCAGAACTAGCGTAATGTAGAAATAGCGTAATGTAGAAATAGCGTAATGTAGAAATAGCGTAATGCA